GGACTCAGGGGGAGGGGGGTTGTGGAACCGTGACGGAGTGTGAGGGGGAGAGTGAGTAGGTGAGGTAACCAAGACTTCAGCAACATTTAAGAGGGCACACGGTCAACAGGATAGAGGGTGAATCTCTTTTCTGATGAACAGGTCGGATTTCACCTCAAAATCAAAAGGAAGAAAAAAGAAAGAAAAAGAAATTATAATTTGCTTAAAGAGCAAAGCCTGTTTTTAGGACCATTGACATTTTATTTTTGTAGTAATTTATTTTTAACAGCACACTTTTCACTGTAATGCAAAAAAAAAAAAAAAAAAAACTAGGGTCAGATTTGCCAGATTTACTAACCGCTTGCGCCAGCGCAAACCGTCTTTTGGCGTTAAAATAGTACTGTCAGGATTTACTAAAGATGTGCAGTAAAGAATTAACACTGAAAAGGACACAGTTATTTTTGAGCCTGAGCTTATTGAATATGCATTTGTAGGAGTTTCCCTTTCAGATGCAAAATTTATGCGAAGAGAGTATTAAAATGAAACACGCAACGTGATTTACTAACATTTGCGCTCGTCAAATTATTAGTATATGCGCCATTATTTAACGCCCAAAAAAAGCAGGCGGTAATGTGCGCTCCTCTTGGTAGATTGCACTGGTCATTATTGAAATGATCTGGCTGCGTGTCACGGTTTTGTCTACTGTGTCGGAGCGAGGAGCGAAGGAGACGTAGGAGAATTCACCAAGAAGAGTCTTTATTCACAATTAGGAACAAGGAACACACACGTAGGAACGGGGATGGACGTTTAAGACAGCGCAACCAAACACTGAACAGGAACAACTTAAATACACAGGACTTGATGAGAAACACCTGGGATCAATAAGCATAATTGAACATGAGGGAAAACTGGGTCATGGAAAGCACGTGGGGGAGGAAAACACAAAACACGGAACACAGGACTGAAACAGAGTCTGACATTACTCCCCCCTCCCGGAAGGCGCGACCACGTGCCCCACAACATCCAACGGGGAGCGGTACCCGTTCCGGGACCCATGGTGGATCAGGCAGTTCGGGGCACCATGGTGGAGCAGGCAGACTAGGAAGCCATGGCGGAGCAGGCACACTAGGAGGCCATGGCGGAGCAGGGAGCTCGGGGTGCCATGGTGGATCAGACAGTTCAGGAGGCAATGGCGGATCAGACAGTTCAGGAGGCCATGGCGGAACAGGGAGCTCTGGGAGCCATGGCGGAACAGACAGGTCAGGAGGCCATGGCGGAACAGGGAGCTCGGGGAGCCATGGCAGAGTAGGGAACTCAGGGGGCCTGGCCTTGGCACTCCACGGACGGACCCCTACTACCCCCCCCTCCCAAAAAAAAAATCCTTGGCGAGAATATCGTCTTTAGAGGCCCTCGACAGGAACCCTCTCTGGGCTAAACTCGGGGACTGGAACCCTCTCTGGGCTAAACTCGGGGACAGGAACTCTCTCTGGGCTAAACTCGGGAACTGGAGCCCTCTCTGGGCTAAGCTCGGGGACTGGGACCCTCTCTAGGCTAAACTCGGGGACAGGAACCGACACTGGAGCGAACTCTGGGGCTGGAGCCGACACTGGAGCGAGCTCTGGTGCTAGGATGAGGGTGGAGAACGGTCTTTTTCTCCTCATCCTCCTCTTTTGGTTAAGGGAGAACGGCGCGGCCTGCGGGCTTGACTGAGGAACGGCCGGCGGGCTTTTCTGTGGAACGGTTGGTGGCCTGGAGAGTGCCGCGGCAGGCGGGCTTGACTGAGGAATGGCCGGCGGGCTGGAGAGAGCTGCGGCCGGCGGGGTGGAGAGAGCTGCGGCTGGCGGGCTTGACTGAGGAACGGCCAGCGGGCTGGTTCTGGCTCAGGGCAGGACACTTTCCAGACACCGGAGGATCCCTTTCCTCCAGCGTAGACCCGTGGTGTCTGGGAGGTCCACGGGGCAATGGTAACTGGCTCCGTGCCGGAACAAGGACTTGATGGTGGCGTCATCTAAAGCCGTCGCCGCGGCGAGCCCGCAGAACTCCCTGGCATACTCAATGAAGGGGAGATCCTTACGGGCTAGAACAATGAACCTAAGAACAGGAACCACTTAAATACACAGGACTTGACGAGAAACACCTGGGATCAATAAACATAACTGAACATGAGGGAAAACTGGGTACTGAAACAGAGTCTGACACTGCATCTGTGTTTTTTAATGTGTGCATTGTCAGTAAATCACACGCAGAATTTTCCCCTCCCATCTGCGCTTTTATGGAATTGCGCTCTAATGCTAATTTACCCTGTTTAGTAAATCTGGCCCCTACTCTTTACTGTAATGTAAAAAAAATGTTTACTATAATTTGAAAAAAATATATATACATTTTTGATTTATTTAAATTTAACCAAAAATTAAAAAAATAGGAGGAGCAAATTACAAAGTTCATTTAGTGCATGTATTTTGAGTTATGCTAATAAAATAAAATATTGTGTGGAATTAGGATGATTTTTATTACTGTATTATAGTAATTATTGTTTAATTACTAGTAATTAGTAATTATTTAATAAAAATGTTATCCTTTCCCCAAAGAACTTTAATAAGAATTTGGGGGAAAATGTGTCTAATTGTCATGGTAGTGTAAGTTATTTTAAATAAAAAAATTAATAATAAAATAAAATACAATTTTTAAACAAATAAAATAAAAATGCTAAACATTGCATTGTGTCAGGGTGATTTTGTTACTGTGATGAAATTTTTGTAAAAATATGTTTTTCCCTTACAGAAAAGTAATGAGAATTTGTGGGTAAATGTGCGTAATTGCCATGAAAAGTCCCACTGAAAAACAAACAAATAAACCCCCCCCCCAAAAAAATGCAGTATATGTTCTTATAAAATATAAAAACAAATATAATTTCACCTTTTTCTCTCTTGATTTTGGAGTAAAGCGGTTGCTAGGGTGTTCTGAGTGGTTGCTAGGCAGTTGCTTACTGGTCCAAGTCAAAAGAGCCCACCCCCAGTCTCTATGATATTCTGGTCTTGAGTTATCAAGACTCGATTCCCTCCTTCAAGTCTGTGGGATTTTTAACCCGCTTAATTGTTCTGCTGGTGTAAAGATTGTAAGTCTGATGTCTCAGAAAAGTAATAACACAAATCTCCTCAGTAATCATAATGATGATTGAGGTATCATGCACAGATGAGCAATGAGCCAAAGTTCGATATCTAGAGCAACAGTAATAGTAATGTGTGACTTATCAAACACTGCTAATTTAAATAACAATATGAATAACTAAACCAAATAAACCAAAGAGCGTTAAAAATAGGAGAGAACAGTGTTAAAATGATAGGAGGCAAATGGTTTACTCAAACGGCACCACGCCCCCTTCCTTCTCTACAGCGTTTGTGTTTGAGCAGAGAGGAGGGGAGGAGAGAGGAGGAGAGAGAGGGAGGAGGGGTGAAATGGGGCTAATTATCATTGGAGGTAAGCTGCAAACAACAAGCACGCTGTCAGCAGAGACAAACCACATGACCTGCGAAAACAAAGCCTTTTCTCAACACGCGTGTGTGTGTGTGTATGAGCTTATCTTTCAGACTGGCTGATGCTTCAAGGTATCTGTATTCATTTTGCATCAGTGTTAGAGCTTCGAGAGAGATGCGTGTGTGTCCAAGGCTGGAGAGCGTGAGTGTGTGTATGTGCTTTATTTAAAGCTGCAGACGCAGCATCACCATCCTTGTGTGAGCAGGTGTTAGAGACTGTGTGCTTAGCGTGTATAAGCAAACATCTCCCAGCATGCATCTAACTACACTGCCTTCCCTCTGTGCTTAACTGTACTAGCATAGCGTGTGTGTTTGCCTTATGTGCTGAGTGTCTGTACACCTATTTACACACACTCCATCTTACCAATAAAAAACATGGCCAAAGAACCAGCATGCACAGCACTAGGAGCAAACGAACATGCAAAACCTGACTTTCTGTCTTACCGTCCTGCAGAACATGTCGGCGCAGGCCCGCAACCTGCGGTTCCGTTCCTCGCTGCTCGCACGGTCCCGTTTGCTAACAGTTCTGCACCCCAGACTTTCCCAGTGTCCCTTGTCTTCTCCGTCTAACCCTTCCCAGCTCCACTTAAACCCAACACCTTTCCAATCCTGGCCTGAGATCAAACTCTAACCGCGTACGAGGATCCTGGTTGCTGAGGCTGGTCTTCCTCAGGAACACATCTCGATGCTCCAGCACATGTCCAGAGGCTCCATGAAGCTGATATCCATTTACTGCAACATAGAGGCAGGAAGTGAGTCTTCCTTAACTTCAAAGGTTTCCCATGTATTCCCATGTATATGTATAAATGTTGGTGTGGCATAGTGATTAAAGATAAGACAACCAGAGGGTTGCTGGTTTGATCTCAGAAAGGATTCCATGGGACCCACCACTGTACCATTTAGGGGGATGTTCCTGTAAGTGAACCCTAAGCCAGGGGTTTGTTAAAGGGATAGTTCAGCCAAAAATGAAAATTCTGTCATTAATTACTCACCCTCATGTCGTTCCAAACCCGTAAGACCTTCGTTCATCTTCAGAACACAAACTAAGATATTTTTGATGAAATCCGAGAGTTTTCTGACCCTACATGGACAGCAACGCAACTGACACATTCAAGGCCCAGAAAGGTAGTCAGGACATTTTTAAAATAGTCCATATGACATCCATGGTTCAACCTTAATTTCATGAAGCTACGAGAATACTTCTTGTGCGCAAAGAAAACAAAAATAATGACTTTATTCAACAATTTCTTCTCTTCTGTGTCAAATTTCAATGCACGTTCACGACAGAACCATACATGTGCATTCCTCTGATTGTAAACAAGCTGCAGTGCATTCTAGGGCTGCGACGATAAATTGATGCAGAATCGATTTGTGGATCGATTCTGAGATCTTCCGAATGCATCGTGATTCTCTCTGCAATCGATTCTGAGCTTAGATTTTAACAGCAGATGGTACTCTAATCTAGTTTTTATCCGCATACTCGGCTGTGCATTTGGCTGGGTCATGTAATTTCACCTTGGCTCAGAATTATTTTATGACGCGAGATTCATGTAAACAGCCCACTGTGAACACCCTAGTAATTCGCTTCAAACTTTTCACATTTTATGAATGATTATTTTAGGTTCAAGTGTATGTAAGGATTTGGAAACAAGCAGAGTATAGCTTTTTAAAAAGCATGCAGTGCCATCTGCTGTTCAAAACTAAGCTCAGAATCAACTCGAGAAAGAATCGCGATGCATTTGGAAAATCTCAGAATCGATACTGAATAATTTCTCGATTCGCGATGCATCGATTTATTTTCCCAGTCTTAGTGCATTCAGGTTCTACATCAGAATGCCGGCTCCTGCATAAGCAGCAACACACGCATGCACCATGGTACTTTTGTGAACACTTGTCAAAGACTGACACAGAAGAGAAGAAATTGTTGAATAAAGTCGTTATTTTTGTTGAACGAGGTAGTTGCATTGCTGTCTATGCAGGGTCAGAGAGCTCTCGGATTTCAAAAATATCTTAATTTGTGTTCCTGAAGTTCTTACAGTTTTGGAACAACACGAGGATTAGTAATTAATTACAGAATTTTCATTTTTGGGTGAGCTATCCCTTTACATTTTTTTATGCTAGAAAAACTACATAGATATAAAGGTGTGGTCACATTTACTGTACACTTTTCTTGGGTGTAATCCAGTCATTTGAATAGAAATCCACAAAACTGGGAATTTTTTTTTAGGTCAAAAGATTTCTCCATGCAAATTTTGCAACATGTTCAAGCTGTTATTGCACAGTGTGTTGGTCAAATTAATCAAACCAGTAATTCCGGAGTATGTGACTTTTGAACAATCCATTTAAAGAAACTTTCGGACTACACAGATCGGACCACACAGATTGTGGTATTGTTTGTTTTTGCATGCAGCCTGTGAGGAGCGCTGCCACTGAAACACAGTGCGGGAAACACTGCTGTGATTGGTGGCACACTTGTTGCACGTCATGCCTAAAGTATGTAAATATTAGTTAAGCTCACCAACAAACTTAAATGTCTTATATTTCTAAAATGATATAAATGCACAATCATTCACATTCTTTGCACGATTTCCTCTCTGCAACCTACAGCTCATAAAACACTGCTCTAAGTCAGACTGAAGTGCCTGATACTTACACAACATAGGACATGTTTTAGACAGCAGTCAACATTTTTATGTCAACAGTTTTATGTATTCATCAGCTTATGTGAGCGCTGACGCATGCACACTGACTTAATAAACCCTTATTGACACCACACTGAAGCTAATGTGCAAGATAATGCATTTTGTCCAAGTAGTAATCATATCATTGAGTCTGGACCCACGTCTCACAGATGGCCAACATTCAGCTCGCACTAAGGCTGAACAGCCTGTGTGTACGTGTCCACTGACTGTGTCCAGTGGTGAGTGATTATTATGACGAAGGCTGTGGTACAATGCGGTGCCTTCCCTCAGGGCTGAAGAAACACACACAGTCAGAGCATTAATGAGCCAGCCTTCCCTGGTATAAGCACTGACATCCAGCCTTTGATACAGAGACTACAGTCTCCTGAAACACTGGGAAATTCTTTTTCCTGTTGCTGCTCTCACACCTCTGATTCTTAGCCTATTTTCTTGCAACATGTCATATTTAAGCTACTATGTCTTGTGCTTCTGTCCAACATGCATTCTCTTTTTCTATATCTTTGTCCATAATGTCCTATCTCTTCATATGTGTCCACATGTCCTCTTCTTATATGTCTGTTCTCTCCCAACATTTCACTGTCCACATACTCTCTTTACAGCTCTATCACATACTCCTAGATCATCGTCCACATGTTCTCTCTCTTTCTGTACATTTGTCCATAATGTCCTCATCTTTTTCCACGTGTGTCCAAGTGTCTTCTTCCTACACATATGTCTACTCTGTCCCCTCCCACCATTTCTGTCCAAATGTCTTTGTGCTTTGTCTTTGTCCACATTCTACTCTTTGTACATCTTCTGTAACATCTCCCTTCTACATCACTGTTCACCATGTCCCCCTCGCTTTCTGTACCTTAGCCCGTGATGTCCTCTTCCTTCACCAGTGTCCACATTGTATTCCTACTGTGCACCTGTGTCCACATGTCCTCTTCCAACACATCTGTCCATTCTGTCCTCCACAAACATTATGGTGTATCATGTCGTCTTCCTTTGTCTCTGTCCACACTGTACTCTTTCTCATCCTCCATCTACATCACTGTCCACCATCTCTCTTTCTATACATTTGTCCATCATTTCGGCTCCCTTCACCTGTGCTCACGGTGTATTCATTTGCTGTGTTCGCCATGTCCTCTTCTTCACCTGTGTCCAATGTCCTCTCCCTATGTTTCTGTCCACCATGTCGTCATCCTTTGTCTCTGTCCACACTGCATTCTTTCTACACCTCAATCACATCCTTCTTCCACATCTGTTCACCATGTCCCTTTTAACCTCTGTCATGATCCCTTCCTATATATTTGTCCTCTGTAAACTAAATGAATATTTACATTTACAAATTTAACCGTTGTTCTCCAAAGCACGTAAAGTTATCAGCAAAACATAATATCTCAAAATGGGCAAATCTTGATTTATCGATCCTAGTACGTGATTTCGCAATAACATTACATTACTGTTGGGTATATAACCTAAACTTAATTGTGTATGTCCACATTTCATTAAGCTCTATCTTGAATATAAGATATAAATTGTGTAAACTGTGAAAACTGCCCAAACCTCTGTGGGCATGTGTGGACAGCTGGATCTGTGTGTAAATAACACTTGCTTTAACTGTTTTCCAAAAGTATTCGGCACCTAAATGCAGCATTACAAAAAAATCTAGTTTTGTTGAGTAATGGTAACCAAACATTGTGATTCAGTTACGATTAGAGTAGACAAATGATGATATTGGATTTATGTATCATGTAAAAAACGCTACTGAATTGGCTTGAAATGGGAAAATCAATATTTTTTCAAGCCCTAGTACAAATATTACCTGAGTGTTGGTGAGACCCAGAAGCCTTTGGGCTGATGGTGGATGTGCTTGGCCGTTCCCACGTTGTCTCTAACACAAACACAGGCATTGTTATGTTATTTATGATGCCTCACTAGTCTAGGTTACTAGCTTTGATTGCTTATGTATACTACATTAGTGTTAGGACATTACACATATATTGCCTTTCTATATTACGGTTTTATCATGACATTAAAAAAACATAAAACTAGAGCTCTTCTTCAATCAAGACAAATAATTATTCCTCACAGTCCAAACGCAACAGTCAGCCCAAGTAGGGGTGAGTTGCTGAATACCATTGCAAAAGCAATTTTTCTTTTTCACAGCCATGGCTGAAAATTGTTACCATATTTTTCTTACACAGTCGCCCCGTGTTTCCTGTGAGTCAAGATGGATTTTTTTATGCTAACTCTTGCAAAACAGCATCCTTCATTCCAAGCATTCAGTCAAAAACGATTTTCCCACACAGAAACATTCTTGTGCAAACACAATTTGCTAATCAGCCTCAGATAGGGCACACACTGCTTCTCAATGTCACAATTCAAAACTGGGTCTGTTGTGATAGGGTCATGAAGCAGAGAAAAAAAACAATGCTAACTGCAAAAAAGAAATACAGCTATTTAATGTATGCATAATCAAGATAACAGAATAAAAACACTTGAAAATTTCTAAAAGGGAAAAGAAACTGCTGTCCAAAGGTTGTATATCTGTAACGAGTCAGTCCACTGAAGGCGAGCGTAATGAGAACCCAAGTGCAGTTTTATTTACAGTGTGATCCAAACATCCAAACAATAATCCAAACAAGATACACAGACTTGATTTGATGAGGCATGAACAGACTAGACTCACCGACAGCGGGTTACAACATCAATACACGACGAAGACTATGGGAACATGATGGCTACTTATAGCAAACAAGAGGGTCACAAGACAAGAACAAACCAATGGGAAACAAGACACATGACTCAGATAACAAATCAGAACATGACACAGACAAGGGAATCACATGACTATAAAATAACCAATGAGAGCATGACACATACACAAGGCAGAGATACATCAGCAGAGTGTGGCATGATCCCTAAGATGGCAGGGCTTGAGAGTGCTGACGTCA